TTTTTTTTTTTTTTTTTTTTTTTTTTTCAAACAATAGAGAATACTCATTAAAAGATATAGGTTCATGATAAAAACTGCTAACACTACCAACAGGTAGAAATGAAAATGAGAGACCAACTGCACAAAGTGGCCTACATAAACTAAGGCTTTTACTTTTCACGAGTCTGAAAAGTTATGCAATTGGTTGGACAATGTTTTTTTTTTTTTTTTTTTTTTTTTTTTTTTTTTTTTTTTTTTTTTTTTTTTTTTTTTTTTTTTTTTTTTTTTTTTTTTAACTTATTGCACATATACGAGTGATGAATTAGTGTGAAATTTTACATTATTCAAATCACACTAGTAACACTCGTGTATTACATGGGCGCTTGTTAAAAAATTATTTTTAAATTTTAAAATTAATGAAAAAATTATATTAAATTTAGTTTACTTTTTTACAAAAAATATATATTACTATATATTTTAGAATGAAATGTGTTATTTATGACTTATATGTGTTATATTATATTAGTTTTTATAACTATTATCATATAACTATTTGAAATATAAATATATTAGTTGATAAATAATTTTATTTTTCTAATTAATATTAAAAATAATTTTATTATTGGTATAAAGATAAATATTAATTATTTTTTTTTTTATACATACAATATGGATGTTAAATCGAAGCTCATCAAAAGAAGATTAGTTTAATATATTATATATGTAAAACTGATAAAAAAAATACAGAAGTTATTAACTTTTAAAATATATATACAATTCAAAGTTATAATAAGGAATGATAATAAAATGCAATTAATACATGTAATATGACAATAAATAATTAACATATTTATGGTAATCCAACCTAATTATTTTTGGTTTGAAATAAATTAAAATTATCCCAAGCTTAATAACAAAGTATGTAATTTTGCCACATAGGATTTTGAAGCACCAGAAGCAGCCACGTAGGCTCAGCGTGTTCTGGATTGATATATAAGGGGAAGGGGGATTTTTCTTTCGTAAAAGAATTGAAGATCAATCCTTGCAGAACACCTTTCCAAAAGTCACAGTTTTCCGCATCATCATTGACCGAAGGGTGAAAAATTTCACATGAAATAAACAAGAAATATATATATATAGGGTTGAGTTCACATGAGAATGGTGCTTAGTGAAAGAAATGAGAACAAATCGTAGTCATTAGATCGGATGATTCAACGGTCATAAATAATTCAGCAACTATATGGTCACTAAGGGTATATGAGACATTTTATTATCCACCATGGGACCCATACCAATTCTTTATTCACACACATCCAATAAATTAATGACATGTGGCCCACTACCATCACACCACTCATCCCAACGTCATCTCTCTCTCTCTCTCTCTCT